CCAGACATTGTGCCCTTCTTATCCCCACTTAACAGATGGGAAAACTGAGGAACAGATAAACAGATTCAGTAATTTGTCTAAGGTCACACTGCAATTGATGTGTGATGATGTCTGAGGTTTCCCTGTGTAAGCCTGGACTCATAACCTTTAGCAGTATGCCTCTTTATTAAATGGTCTGTTTTTAGGTGGCAATTTCATCTTAAAACAAATTCAGCATTAAAAAGTATTTCTCTTCAAGTGAATTTGAGCATGTTAGGGTCTGGAGAGATGGAATCGTTTACTTTAACTGCCTATTCACTGAGCCTCAAAAAGAAGCCCCTTACATGTTTGCCTAGGACAAATGATTATGCTGGATAAATACTAAAAACTGTTTTGATCTTACAAAATTTACTATCTGTGTACCTTTGGGGAACAAAAACAAACTGCGGCTGGGAAAATTTAGTGCTTGTTTACAAGCTTTATTTCCTTTGGTTCCCCAAATTTGCACACACAAAGAGGGCATCATGGTTGGATTTTAAGGGCCATTGGCAGCAAAAAAGGTAAGCAGCGGGAATCAGGGACCCCCCAGTACCTGCCACCAGGATGACTTGGCATGAAAAAATGGTCTGGCTGTCTGGCTTTAAGGGACAAGATGAGGCTCTCGATGAAGAGTACTCTATTCACACTCTCATTGGAAAAACAAACTAAAACACATTTAGATATAAACATGATAGAAACTGTTAAAAAGTCTTAATTGTTTAGTAGGTGCCTATTACCAATCTATTTTTCAGACTGCAATGCATCAGTTTTATTGAATACTTTTTAAGGGATCAAGCATGAGCTTCTTGTTTACTGCTTATTCTTTACCCCCTTGTGTGATTTTTTGTGTGTGCCTAGCCTCTACTTCCATTATTTCTTAAGATATTATTATTTTTGAAAACATCATTGTGTTGGAGTTAGATGTCTTGAAATTCACTTGGTCTAGCACTTTTATTTCAAACATTAGAAAACAGAAATTTGAATGATAGTATTTTATCTCTGTGTAGTAGTTTCTGATAGACAATTTGATTTAATCGTCTCTACCACCTTGTGAAGACTCGTGCCCATTTTATAGATGAGGAAGTGAGTTGGTTGGATTAGGGTCAGATAGCTGGTTATTAGTAGAGCTGGGACTAGAACTGCAGTCTTCTGATTGGTGGTCAGGTCTTTTTCTGTTGCATCATGCTGCTGCTCATACTCTTGGAAACTTGTGACTGTTGCACATCTCACAGCAGACTAACCCAACACTCCCAAGTGTTCATCCTTCCTGGCTTTCAAAGGTCTGATTAATCCTTGTAAGCTACATCAAAACAAATTAATTTTGTGTTACTTTTCAGTTCAAAAGTCATAAGACTTATCTAGTGTCTGAAGCTGATAAGCAGCATTTAATTATTTACTGAATATAGAACTGGAAGCCATTTTTCTTCTCTTTTAAAAGTTATTTAATTTTATGAAAGATGAGCATTTGTCGATAGTTGAATTAACATGTGCAGAGACCCTGAGAATGCTGGATCAAAGTATTTTTTTTTCTTTTTCTTTTTTTTTTAATTGCATTTTAGGTTTTGGGATACATGTGAAGAACATCCAAGATTGTTGCATAGATACACACATGGCAGTGTGATTTGCTGCCTTCCTCCCCTTCATCTGTATCTGGCATTTCTCCCCATGCTATCTTTCCCCAACTCCCCACCCCCTGCTGTCCCTCCCCTCTTTCTCCCCGACAGACCCCAGTGTGTGATGCTCCCCTCCCTGTGTCCATGTGTTCTCATTGTTCAACACCCACCTATGAGTCAGAACATGTGGTGTTTGATTTTCTGTTCTTGTGTCAGTTTGCTGAGAATGTTGATTTCCAGGTTCATCCATGTCCCTACAAAGGACATGAACTCATCATTTTTGATGGCTGCGTAATATTCCATGGTGTATATGTGCCACATTTTCCCTGTCCAGTCTATCATCGATGGGCATTTGGATTGGTTCCAGGTCTTTGCTATTGTAAACAGTGCTGCAATGAACATTCATGTGCATGTGTCCTTATGGTAGAATGATTTATAATCCTTTGGATATATACCCAGTAATGGGATTGCTGGGTCAAATGAAATTTCTATGTCTAGGTCATTGAGGAATCGCCACACTGTCTTCCACAATGGTTGAACTAATTTACACTCCCACCAACAGTGTAAAAGTGTTCCTATTTCTCCACATCCTCTCCAGCAACTGTTGTCTCCAGATTTTTTAATGATCGCCATTCCAACTGGTGTGAGATGGTATCTCAATGTAGTTTTGATTTGCATTTCTCTAATGACCAGTGATGATGAGCATTTTTCAATGTTTGTTGGCCTCATATATGTCTTCTTTTGTAAAGTGTCTGTTCATATCCTTCATCCAGTTTTGAATGGGCTTGTTTTTTTTTTGTAAAATCTGTTTTCGTTCTTCGTAGATTCTGTATATCAGCCCTTTGTCAGATGGGTAGACTGCAAAAATTTTTTCCCATTCTGTTGGTTGCCGATTCACTCTCATGACTGTTTCTTTTGCCGTGAAGAAGCTGTGGAGTTTGATTAGGTCCCATTTGTCTATTTTGGCTTTTGTTGCCAATGCTTTTGGTGTTTTGATCATGAAGTCCTTGCCTACACCTGTATCCTGAATGGTTTTGCCTAGATTTTCTTCTAGGGTTTTTATGGTGTTAGGTCTTATGTTTAAGTCTTTAATCCATCTGGAGTTAATTTTAGTGTAAGGTGTCAGGAAGGGGTCCAGTTTCTGCTTTCTGCACATAGCTAGCCGGTTTTCCCAACACAATATATTAAACAGGGAATCCTTTCCCCATTGCTTGTTTTTGTCAGGTTTGTCAAAGATCAGATGTTGTAGATGTGTTGCCTCGGAGGCCTCTGTTCTGTTCCATTGGTCTGTATCTCTGTTTTGGTACCAGTACCATGCTGTTTTGATTACTGTAGCCTTGTAGTATAGTTTGAAGACCAGTAGTGTGATGCCTCCCACTTTGTTCTTCTTGCTTAGAATTGACTTGGCTATGCAGGCTCTCTTTTGGTTTCATATGAAGTTTAAGGTGTTTTTTTCCAGTGCTGTGAAGAAGGTCATTGGTAGCTTGATGGGGATAGTATTGAATCTATAAATTACTTTGGGCAGTATGGCCATTTTCATGATATTGATTCTTCCTAACCATGAACATGGAATGTTTCTCCATCTGTTTGTGCCCTCTCTTATTTCATCGAGCATACCAAAATCCAGCAGAGACTAGCAAGAAAAGAAAACTTCAGGCCAATATCCATGATGAATGTAGATGCAAAAATCTTCAGTAAAATATTGGCAAACCGATTGCAACAGCACATCAAAAAGCTTATCCACCATGATCAAGTAGGATTCATCCCAGGGGTGCAAGGCTGGTTCAACATATGCAAGTCTATAAATGTAATTCACCACATAAACATAACCAAAGACAAAAACCACATGATTATCTCAATTGATGCAGAGAAGGCCCTTGACAAAATTCAACAGCCCTTTATGCTAAAAACTCTCAGTAAACTAGGTATTGACAGAAGGTATCTCAAAATAATAAAAGCTATTTATGACAAACCAACTGCCAATATCATACTGAATGGGCAAAAAACTGGAAGCATTCCCTTTGAAATCTGGCACTAGACAAGGATGCCCTCTCTCACCACTCCTATTCAATATAGTATTGGAAGTTCTATCCAGAGCAATCAGGAAAGAAAAAGAAATAAGGGGTATTCAAATAGGAAAGGAGGAATTCAAATTGTCTCTATTTGCAGACTACGTGATTGTATATCTAGAAGACCCCATCGTCTCAGCCCAAAATATCCTGAAACTGATAAGCAACTTCAGCAAAGTCTCAGGATACAAAATCAATATGCGAAAATCACAAGCATTCCTATACACCAATAACAGACTTAAAGAGAGCCAAATCAAGAACAAACTGCCATTCACAATTGCTACCAAGAGAATAAAATACCTAGGAATATAACTAACAAGGAACGTAAAGGACCTCTTCAAGGAGAACTACAAACCATGGATCAAAGTATTTTTGATGCAGGTTGTGGTATCTGGTACTATAATCTCAGCCCTTTGGGAGGCTGAAGGAACAGGATCACTTGAGGCCAGGAGTTCAAGACCAGCTGAGACAACATAGTGAGATACCATCTCCACAAAAAAATGTTTATAAAAAATTAGCTGAGTATACTTGAGTATGGTGGTGCATACTTGTAGTCCCAGGTACTTGAGAGGCTGAGGCGGGAGGCTCTCTTGAGCCCAGGAATTCAAGGCTGCAGTGAGCTGTAACTGTGCCACTACAGTCTAGCCTGAGTAACAGAGCAAGACCCTGTTTCATAAATAAATTAGTAAATAAATAAATATAAACGTGAATTTGTTCAGTGCTGACCTCTCCCTATTTTGTATGTTGTGAAGCAATATGAGGCAGGGCCAGTGGCCTGCTCAGGTGTCCTGGTGATACAAAGATCTCCTGACCCACCCTTTAGAAGTCACGCATCACACCTGCCTATCTGTCTAGGCAGCACCAGTGTGTCCCTAAGATAAAGCCATGCTACTCAGTAAGAAGAATGAAATAACCATTTTGAGAGGTAAAAGACAAGGGGGCGAAGTGGGTGCCTTCTTCCTCTCTTAGCCTTGTGCCTGCCCCTGAAAGAGTGTGGAATTTAGTGTATACACATTGTCTTTGGTTGCTGGACTAAGGCTGAGCAAGATTAATAACTTGTTATATTGAACTGCTTATCTTCAGTAGCTAGTGTTTGGACAGTATGCCATTCCTGTGGAATCTTGGGGACAGGAGTGAAATTTGAGAAGCCATCCTTTCCTCTTCTGTCCTCAGGCAGAGTGGCTTCCAGCTGGGAGAACTAATTTTCTTCAGATGTCCAGGAGATTCTAGTAGTTCATGCCATCGTCATGCTTCTCATTGATTAGAACTAACTCTGTGGGCCTTTGTGTCTCTCTTTCAGGTCTAACTTCAAACTTGTGGCTGTTAATTCAAAACTCTATGCCATTGGAGGGCAGGCCGTTTCTAACGTTGAGTGTTACAACCCTGAGCAAGATGCTTGGAATTTTGTGGCACCCTTACCCAATCCTCTGGCTGAGTTCTCTGCCTGTGAGTGCAAGGGAAAAATTTATGTCATTGGAGGATACACTACCAGAGGTAAGTGAAGGGACTAAGTAGGTGGTCTGGCCATCTGTAGGTGTCGGCAGCTGGGAAGGGCAAGACAGTGTCAGAGGAAGCTCTGATGTACCTGAGTGTCATTTTATGGTTTAATACTGTACACTTACACATCTGGAAGGAAGCGAGTCCCATTTGGGTGGGGTGATTGAGACAAGAGGGATCTTTTGATAACTTTGTGTGAGCATGAAAATCAAATGGGAAAGGGAGGGCTGTGAAAAAAATATGTTATTATTTTTGCTTCTGAAAACCCAGCTTTTTGGTCAACTGTCCTGTGATTTGGCTGGGCCTGGTTTGTGGGGGTCACTCTCTGAGGTTCGGTAGGTCTTTGGAGAAGATTATCTGGGAACTCCCGTTTTTATCTCAAACACGTACCAAACCTGCCCCCATCCACCATTATGGAATTTAGTACCAGAGCATACTTGCAGATTAGTTCTCATTTTCTCTCTTTATGAGCACACACACATCAGATAGAGGTTCCGGAAACCCAGCTCCAGGACATTGTTCACATATCACAGGAAGAGCAAGAACATGAATACAAGAGTTCTTTCCTGACCAGCAGTGGGAAGTGATTGTACTATCTATTTATTTGTTTATTTATTTATTTTTTGAGACAGAGTCTCCCTCTGTCACCCAGGCTGGAGTGCAATGGTGTGATCTCCGCTCACTGCAATCTCTGCCTCCCAGGTTCAAGTGATCCTCCTGCCTCAGTCTCCCTAGTAGCTGGGATTACAGGCACTCACCACCATGCCCAGCTGATTTTTGTGTTTTCAGTAGAGACAGGGTTTCATCGTATTGGCCAGGCTGGTCTGTAACTTCTGACCTCAGGTGATCCACCTGCCTTGGCCTCCCAAAGTGCTGGAATTACAGGTATGAGCCACTGTGCCTGGCCTGATTCTACTATTTATAAAAATGTACATCTGTGTTTTTCACTTTTTTGGTGGGCATTTTATAGTTAATAATTTGGAAATAGAAAATTTCTACAGCAAGTTTATTTTTTGTGGAGACAAAGTCTTACTATGTTGCCTAGGCTGGTCTTAAATTCCTGGGCTCAAGTGATTGTTCTGCTTTGGTCTCTCGAAGTACTGGGATTACAGTCATGAGCCACCATGCCCTGCTAACCAGCAAGTTGTATACTGCTGTTCTTGGTAGGGAATTCAGGTAACAGTGGTACAGAACAGTGGTTGTTGGTGGGACACAGTGGCTCACACCTGTAATCCAACACTTTGGGAGGCTGAGGCAGGAGGATTGCTTGAGGCCGAGAGTTCAAGACAGGCCTGGGCAACATAGCAAGACCCCTTCTCTAAAAATGAAAAGAAGAAAATTATCTGGATGTGGTGGCATGTACCTGTAGTCTCAGGCCCAAAGATACTTTTTTTGAGTAAAATCGCCATTCACAGGTTCTGGGGATTAGGAAATTGACATATCTTGTTAGGGACCACCATGCACCCCACTGAAGCAATGTGTATATTTATGTATTTAAGGAGAGGCAAGACAAAGAGAAGTGCATTGGAAGCAGTGACCTTTTTTTCCCCCCTACTCCAAGTTTCTGTCATTTGTCAAGCTATTCCTAAGGTCCCTCTCTGGTGACTCCACTGAAGATAGTTTTCAACTTTTTCTTTTTTTTTTTTTTTTTTTGAGACGGAGTTTCGCTCTTGTTACCCAGGCTGGAGTGCAATGGCGCGACCTCGGCTCACCGCAACCTCCGCCTCTCGGGTTCAGGCAATTCTCCTGCCTCAGCCTCCTGAGTAGCTGGGATTACAGGCACGTACCACCATGCCCAGCTAATTTTTTTGTATTTTTAGTAGAGACGGGGTTTCACCATGTTGACCAGGATGGTCTCGATCTCTCCACCTCGTGATCCACCCGCCTCGGCCTCCCAAAGTGCTGGGATTACAGGCTTGAGCCACCGCGCCCGGCCTCAACTTTTTCTTTAAATATAATTGAAAAAAAAAAAAAAAAGAGAGAGACTTAGTAGTCATTTCTTTGACCTTCGATATTGGTTGTCAGGTTACACTGATTAACTTTATAGGTTTAAGGCCGGGCACGGTGGCTCAAGCCTGTAATCCCAGCACTTTGGGAGGCCGAGGCGGGTGGATCACGAGGTCAAGAGATCGAGACCATCCTGGTCAACATGGTGAAACCCCGTCTCTACTAAAGGTGCAAAAAATTAGCTGGGCATGGTGGCACGTGCCTGTAATTCCAGCTACTCAGGAGGCTGAGGCAGGAGAATTGCCTGAACCCAGGAGGCGGAGGTTGCGGTGAGCCGAGATCGCGCCATTGCACTCCAGCCTGGGTAACAAGAGTGAAACTCCGTCTCAAAAACTTTATAGGTTTAGACTAAGCCATGGGCCCCTCAGTCCCCCAGAACTCCTATGTTTATGTAATAATCTCTCTCTCTCTCTCTCTTTTTCTGTCTGTCTGTCTCTTGTGCGTGTGTGCACGCGTGTGCGTGTGTGTGTGTGTGTGTGTGTGTGTGTCTTCTAGGAAAGTAAATAGTTACTTACCTATGAGCAATTCTAAGAATTCTGATTCCTCTCTAGATTGAGTAACACAGATTGCATCTCGTGTACTGACATAATGCACATGTACCTTGACTTCTCTTCTGACCAAGAGCTGTTCAACACTGACAGGCAGCACTGTAACCCAAAGAGTACTTTACTGGTAGATTCCTAGTTTTTCCATGACGCTGGCTGAGCAAATGTCCTTTAGATTTGACCTAGAAAACCCTTCTTGTATGTTTTGTAGCTTCACAAGCCACTGCTAATGTACCTTCTTCACTTGGGCCACCCACTGTGATTTCTGTCCTGGATTCCCTGAGCCAAATACCCATGATGGGATGGTTCAGTGATGTGGATGGATAGCTATTTGTATAAGGGCTGAAACTAGTTTTCTAAGATGGGAGAGCTGGACAGTTATTTACACGCTAAAGCCCTCCTTCTTTTTTGGTGGGGCTTTCCAAGCACTGCCTAGTAGTTCCCTGTATTTAAGATAAGTCATGATTGTTAGGAAAAAAAGAAAAAAAAGTTAGTTTTTAGACTCCTGACTTCTTTTTTTAATTTTTTTTTTTTTTAAGGTAGAACCTAGCATTTTATTTAGATCTTCATTAAACTGTTGGAATTGAGAACCAGACTTACGTAATAAACCTCCAAAAATAGATCCTGAAAGGCACTTTCTGCTTAGGGCAAGCGGTCATAGACTCCTGACTTCTTAAGTCAAGTAAATAATAAAAATTTCTTCTTAAAAAAAATTTCTTCTTAAAATTTAGCAAATAATAGTTCATGATTTTTATGATAGCTATTTGATTCTTTTAATTCCTTGGCAGCACTGAAGAAATTCAAAGAAGTTCAATAGCGAGTAATAGCTATAAAGGGAAGAAGGGTGATTTGTCAAACTTCAGAATCAACTTTAAATGTAAAAACAAAAAGATCATTTCTCCAAATCAAACCACCTCATCATGGTCTGAGCCCTTGTTGAGTGAGAAGAGAAAACATTTACAGAACACCTGGAAAGACCTTCTTCAGGCCTGGAGCTGAGAAGTATGTGGAAGCCTCACTAGAATGAGTTCTTTATTCATTCGGTGGACAGCCAGGTTACTAAGGAGCACTTTTTAATAAATTATTGACCAAAATCCCCTTGGGTCATCTCCTAAAATGATCTTTATTATGATAGCTATAGTAAAAAGAAATATGGAGAGGTATTAATATGGTTGGAAATCAGAAGGACAGTTTCCTAACACTGTGACTTACACTTCTGAGATTTCTGCAGGCATCAGGACATGTGCATGCACAGGACTTTGCTGTCTTAGGAGGTACCTTAGTTTGTATCAGATGTGGCTTTGGAGGGTGCCCTTTAAGCACTGCTAATTATGGGTGGGTTCTTCTCAGAAGGAAGAACTGAAAGAGGTATGAAACTTCTGAAAAAATGAGCTGTCTTCTCTTACCAGTGTCTGCAGCCGTCAAAATGCTGTAGGCTTTAGTTGTCTACCAGTTCCCAAGCTGAACTGTCTCCTTCATGGTTAGGATTTATTGTTTGTTTAGAAAAAGCAACAACATTCTGTTTATAACTCAGCATTTGTGGTTTCTGCTGAAGCTAAAATACTCATTTATTCTTTCCTAGAGGAGAAAAGAAAAAGAGAACAATTAAAAACAAGAAAAGCAAAACTAGATATTCTAAATTTCATAAGTATTTTTCACAAAGAGACTAGGCAATATTTTTCCTTAAAGAAAATCTTTTTTTTTTTTTTTTTTTTTGAGATGCCAGGATCTCTGTCACCCTGGCTGGAATGCAGTGACGCGTGATCACAGCTCACTGCAGCCTCACCCGCAATGCTAAAGCCATCCTCCCACCTCAGCCTTCCAAGTAGCAGCTGGGAATATAGGTACACACCACCATGCCTGTCTAGTTTTTTATTTTTTTGTAGAGACAGGGTCTCACCATGTTGCCCAGGCTGGTCTTGAACTCCTGGGCTCAAGCAACCCTCTTGCTTCAGCCCCCTAAAATGGTGGGATTACAGTCCTGAGACACCATGCCTGGCCAGAAATCATTATTAATTAAAAATGCCAGAGCAGCCTTTTATCTAGACTTTGATGTTATCTACATTGCAACTGTCTCTTGTGAAATGGGAAAAGGGAGAGAGCAGGACCTTTGTTATTGTCGCTCTGGTGATAGGAAACTAAGGCTGGGCATGGTAATGACCCTGTCTTTACAAATAAAAACAAATTTGAAAACCGAATTGCCGAGTGATTCTGTGGCTTGGTAGAAGGCCACAGGTGAGACTGCTGCATTTCTCCTGACTTGTAACGTTGTGTGCTTTTCACTAGACAGCCTCTGGAGAGCCTGTGTTGCTACTTGTCATGTTTCTTAGGATCAGCTGTCAAGAACAGATCTAGCTGCTGCTCAGCCTGGCTTCTGTATTAAGTAGTCGGTAATTTTGTAGCTATTTATGAGAGTTCTGAGGCACTTAGTTTTTTTACACTGATCTGGTGGTTCAGAGGTATGGGGGTACCAGGGAGGAGGGGCTGTGTGAAAGGCAGAGCTGCTCTTTTCCCTGGTTTTATCCAGTCTGAGTCTCCCAAGGAGGAGACGTTTGGAAGGGGGAGGTGAGTGTGGATGGATCTAAATATATCTCTTCCCAGCCATTTCGAAAACTGTTTTTCCAACTTGTGCTTTTTCCGAAACAGTTTTTTCTCTTTGTTACCAAATTATGCAGGTAGAGGTAGACATTTCTGGGCAGCCTAGCCTGATGGTGTTAGTGGGGGTCGTGTCATCACTTACCTTTCTTTCTTTCAGACCGGAACATGAACATTTTGCAGTACTGCCCCTCTTCCGACATCTGGACCCTCTTTGAAACATGTGACGTCCACATTCGCAAGCAGCAGATGGTGTCTGTGGAAGAAACCATCTACATCGTGGGGGGGTGTCTCCACGAGCTGGGGCCCAACCGCAGGAGCAGCCAGAGCGAGGACATGCTCACTGTGCAGTCCTACAACACCGTCACCCGGCAGTGGCTCTACCTCAAGGAGAACACGTCCAAATCGGGTCTTAACTTGACTTGTGCGCTCCATAACGACGGCATCTACATCATGAGCAGAGACGTCACCCTGTCGACCAGCTTGGAACACCGAGTGTTCCTCAAGTACAACATCTTTTCAGATAGTTGGGAAGCATTTCGGCGTTTTCCAGCTTTTGGACATAACTTGCTGGTGTCTTCTCTTTATCTGCCCAATAAAACAGAAACATGACTGAATTGAATTCCTAGATGAAAGAAAACTGGTTCAAGATTTTTTTTAAAAATGTAGTGTCCCATCGCAAGGGAGACTGATTCCTAAAGGGTAGAGAAGGGTTAAAATAAGTCACATATATACAGTAGCAGCTGTAAATAAGCTTACTTGAACTACTTACTTGAAAACTTGTGGAAAAAAGAGACCAACTTTGTTATTTTTTAAATTATTGATTTTTAAATTATGGGAGCAAATCCATCTCCAGACATAATACTCTTGGGCCAATGACGGATCATCAAAATGTAGATTCATTGTGACTGCATGGTAAAGGGCCAAAGTCAATAATTGGAACAAATGGTAAAGATGATTTTTAAAATCTGTTGTATTTAGGTCCCTTTACATATCATTAGCACCTTATGTGAGAGATTTTCTTTTTCTTGCCAGTGTACTTGATAAGCATTCATATTAACATACTCATTCCCTCTTCTCCATCAAGCATACCCACGCATACATCTAGTATGTTTAAAATAGGGTTCTGTGTTCAGATATTTTGTTTGCACACTACTCTTTAGGAAACTTACAATGATGGATCCCTACAGTGAATCCTTGCCAGTGTTCAGTCCTCCTCAAAACTTGCATAAAAACATTCTCAGCTATTTTTCAAGCCGCCTTTGCAGGTACAAATGCTGGATTAATAGATTAATATAACCTCTTATTTTATTTATGTGGCAGATTACATATTTATGTGGTCACATAGGTTGCATTGCTAGGTGTTCTGTATTGTTTTAAAGAGGATATATTTAGAAAAATGAATATATGAATATTTTTTAAAATTGAGTTAAATTTAAATGGGAAGGGAAGAAAACACCAAATAAGACAAAAATTTGCCTTTGAGAGTTACTTTTATTGAATGTATTTGACTTAGTTCTTATTTTAAGGCGTAAAAAAAGTTTATCATATTTAAGTCAGGCAACTAATTTAATCTTAGCTTTGTAATTCATGTTTTGCTTTTGTGGACTAAGGTAAGGACAGCATTTAAACATTTGTGCTGGAGTAAGAGGAGGAAGCCCTTAAAGAAGTGGAATGGCTTCTGGTAGTATTTCTGAAGTTGGGTGAAGTGCTTTACTTGTCTTGGTTGTTAATTGAAATAGAATTCAGCTCAAGCAGCTGTTTTCACTGAGGGAGTTAACAGTAAAAGTTTCTGCCAATCATAGATCAGCATTCCTCAAAAATATGTATACTCATACTTACAGAAATTTTTTTTTGATTGATAAACACTCTAAAATTATCTGATATTTTGTAATGGAATCAGTTGAACTGTGAGCTGGATTCCATCATTCTGCACTAACAGCAGGCAGAGCCATTTCAGTTAGTGTGTGCCTCACTTTAAGAAAAGCCCTTTGGCGGGGGAAAAATCTGTCAGAGCAAATTTATGCATTCAGCAAACACTTACTGAGTGCCTGCAGTATGCTATGCACTGTGCAGAGGTAGGACGGGGCTAATTACTTAGAGTTCTTCAGTTTATTATAGGAGTCACTACAGGGTTTCTTTACAACCATGGCCTCTAGTATACTTCAAATAAGGGTCCAGTTATAAAAAGCCTATTTGCACAACTTTTTGGGAATACTTCTATTAAGTAAAATGAGGTAAGCCGTTGTTTTGGACATAGAAACAGATCTTTGTATCTTGTCACCAAATAATTTTATCTCTAGTCTACTTACAATTTTGTAAAGGTTTCTAAGCTGTGCCCATTTATTCCCAAATATTAAGCCCTTAAAAAAGTAACCTCTGAACAAGAATCTTCCCAGTAATAGTACTTAATAGATTTTAATGTTAATTTATATTCATTGTAGAATTGAATTTCTAGTGACCTGTATTTCATTACGTATATTTTAAAATCTAATTTATTTTAGATGGTGTTAACTTGTTGCTAAAGAGCTTAACTTTTTAAAGGCTTAGTCCTATACATTTAGAAGATGAGTCAGTTGAATTAGTACTGGACAAACAGTTGGAGATTAGCTTGCAAATAAGCACATCATATCAAATACAGTATTCCTGCCAACCAGTTAATTCTCTTCCTGATTACATTCTTTGGATCTGTTTGCCTAATGTTAACAATTAGATTTTTGGACAAAGTGGAGGTATACTCTGATCCACAAAGCTCTTTTATAAACCAGGTTTGGGTTGTATGTATGTTTGGATATTATAGCTTTCTTTAGGACTGGCATCTATCAAGATTTTGTTATTCTGGGCTGCCCGCAGTACTTGAGAAAGGTAGAATGTGCAATAGGAACAGATTTGTGCATTTTGGGACATCATCCTTCCTGCCGTGCACATCAGCTGTGTTGACATTTTGAGGATAGTTTTAATTTAACTGTCTTCTTGTTGATGCCAGTATTACACTGAAGACCCTACCTATGATAAAGGCAGTGTTGCTTTGAAAATCTCCCTTCATCCCCCAGTACTGTCCTCTACTCTTTGATAGTATCTCTCCATTTTCTTCCCAATTCTCTAAATGCTTTATCATTTTTTTCAGAGATTCTTCTGAGGGATCCTGACCTTCCACTCTGGGGATGGAGTTGCTTGGAGGACCTGGGGTGACAGCCGGCTGGCCAGAAGCACCCTATTTTATAAATAGCGGTTTGAATGGTAGAGAGTGAGTCTTGTGTGTGGGTTGTTAGAAGGCTGTTTCATCCTGTCATTCTCTCTGGCTTTCCTTTCAACCCCCTCAGTTTCAGAGGCTTCTCCCCTTAGCATCCTTTAAAAGGTTTTCTGATGAATGTCTGCAAGAGTTGATTATTTTGACTGTTTTGGTTAAGTCACAACGACGAAGTACTGAGAAGATTATCAGTACCAGGAAAACAGAAGTTTTAAGATTAGAATGAGAACCAAAGAGAATTTAACCCTGCCATTTTTTTTAAGCACCAAGATCCTAAGTAATTCCAAATGCCTTAGATATCAATGAAAGCTACACACCATTGAGATGAACAAAATTCTCTCTCTATGAAGGGAGTAATCAAGTAAATGCCTGTTCTCTTTCAATGGACTGTTGCTTATTGAGCATTGTGGATAATGTGTTTTCAGATTTCCAGTTCTGACCCTACCTGTTTGGCCAAAGACGTAAATTGAGAGGAAAGGCCTTGATCTTCTGATCAGCCAGGATTTAATGAACAGTGGCTTAATGCAGATCACTCAAGAGGCAGCACAGCAGTGTAAAAGGAATGTAAGTAGGAGTTGGATGCCTTTTTCCTAGGCCAGGAATGGGGAATACATGACATCTGTGCCATTGTTCTTCTAAGGAGGCATTATGAATGAGTGCAGCATTCCTTTCCTCTGTGCCAGGATTCGGTCTTAGAATCCACGTCAGATGGATGCTTCCAGACATCTATTCCCATTCCATCAGCTATTTGCCACCCCTGCCTTAGACAGAATAGTGAAGGAATTAAGAGGGTAGACACCAACCGAAATGGCTTTGAAAGCAATAAGCTGATTGACCTTTAGTCCTGTGCTAACTAGAAAGTGTCTGTCATGTGCAAGACAATGCTAAGAACTGAGAATGCAGATATAAATAAGCCACGGTTCATGACCTTAAAGAGCTTACAGCCTTATAAAGAGGTTCACTGTAATTGTCTTCACCAGGGCATACTTTTCAAAGATGCCCACTTTTGTCTGGCACATAGGGGCTTGGTGGTCTGGTGGTCCCTTCAGTCTTGGCCCAATCTATCCTTTGTTTTTGGATTTACTAACAATTACCATGAACAAGTTTTGTTTTTCTTTTAAATTTGAACATCACATCCTGTGTTTTAGTTTTTTCCTCTGTGCTTTTCTCTCACTGCTTTTCATAGTCTATGTACTTTATTATTATGAAAAAAATGAAAATCACATGTAATTTTGCTTTATTTTAAAATGCTCACTAAGCACTGCAGACTTTGCAGTTGGGGGCCCAGCTGCTTGGTCCAGTGAAAAGGAAGATTGAAGCCAGGGAGGTTAGTATCCAAGAGGGGCAAGTTGATTGCATGTGCATTTATACCTATGCCTTTAAAACATTCCCATAAAAAGAATAAAGAAATTTCCATTCCGCACTAGTACCAATGAAAAGACACTTGATTTTGCCTTGTGATAATTATCAAAGGATAGTTTTTCATCCTTAGGTTTAATTCACATAAGAGTTTTTTTTTTCTTTGTTAACTTAGGAACACATCAGTTCACATCAATTGACATGTTGCTGACGTCTGTCCTTGACATAACCGTTTTTGTTCCTATAGGAAACATTAAATATAAAAGATGGTCAATTTTGAAGAGCAAAAGGGTGCTGAAATGACTTGTAGGGTTGGCTGGTGCTTTCTCAAATGGATTGCTGTAGTTTATTACTAGTAAAGAAAAGGAAAATGTGATTAACGTTATTGTCGTTTTTTCTATTAAAAAAAAAAAACCTTACGAATGGGGCACTTTAGCTGTCCCCACAATGTTTTCATATCTAGTAGTCATTTTAGGGAAAGTGATAATATGTAGAATGAATAGTTACGTTTTGATATGACTGATACTTTCTTTGTTAAAAAGGTTGTATTAAGTCTTCAATTTCAAGTGTAGCTTAAAAGTGTAAACATTATGTGATTCATTTGAATACAAAAATGCCTATGAAGTACTCAATATAACAGCATTCCTTTTGTGTTTTGAACTATAGATGAAAAGATATTCAAATAAAGTAGTTCTCGGTCACTTTTTGTTGTCCAAGTTCTATGTATCAGCTGCATATTCAGGGCTGTGCCAGGACTAGGAGGAAATGGGCGAAGCAACTCAGGAACCTGAGGAGGGAGGATTGCTTGGGGCCAGGAATTTGAGACCAGCCTAGGTAACAGTGCAGTCCTGTGTCTACAAAAAATTAAAATAAAATAAACTAGCCGACATGGTGGTGCATGCCTGTGGTCCCAGACACTTGGGAGACTGAGGCTGGAGAACTGCTTGGGCCCAGGAGTTCGAGGCTGCAGAGAGCTCTGATTGTACCACTGCACTCCAGCCTGGGCAAGCAGTGCAAGACCCCAAGTCAAGAGAAATCTATGAATAAATGTACAAATTTCCTACACAGGACACACTAAAGGAGGAGGAGGATGGCTGACCCAGCAGAGTGACACCCAAAGCTAACTGAGCATTTTTTTTTTTTTTTTGCCAGTAATTCTAAGCATTTTTTATTTCTTTAATCCTCACATGAATCCCATGTGGTAAATAAAAATATTATCCTCCACTTTACAGTTGAGAAACTGAGGCACTGTTGGTTACAAATTGCCATTTGGGAAAGAGGAGAAGGGAAAACTACAAACGGCGGTCACTCGTCTAAAAGGTATCCTTTCCTTTGCTGGTGGAGGGGTGGGTTTCCGAGTGAGCCAATCTGGGAGCCTGTGGTCCTGCTTTTGCAGCAGTGTTCCATGGCTGGCCTGCGCGGAGGTGACGTGGCAGCCTCTTCCTGTGGGCATGGTTACAGGACGTGTGTAGAGGGGAGCTGAACATTTCTGTGGAGGCTGAGGATCCCAGGCTCCTGTTTGTAGGCCATCAACATTTCCTTGGCAATCAAACTTTAAAAATCCATTTAGGGCTGGGCCCGGTGGCTCACACCTATAATCCCAGCACTTTGGGAGGCCAAGGTGGAAGGATCACTTGAGCCCAGGAATTCAAGGCCAGCCTGGGCAACACAGTGAAACCATGTCTCCATTAAAAAAAATAAATGAAACTCAGATGCTGGTAAATCCAATCTCCCGCAACTCCATAGGATAAAGGCCCAGATTTAGAGGAGCCCAGTTTCTTTAGCTTAGAGCCCATCAGTATGATGTCTGTCTTTTAGTCACAGGCTTCCTGCTCATGCCTTCACCCTGAGTTTGATGTTGTCAATCTCTCTCTTAGCTTTGGGATCATCTGAAACTGTAGGGGTTTGCCGTTCCCAGACTACATCCCAGGGAATGCTGCATTAGTAGAAATGATTACCTCTGTGTGACAGGATTTGTTTAGAAAATAAAATTCCCACCCTATTTCTCTTCCTCTTCCTCCTCCCTGCTCCCCTTTCCTCATCCCCCTCCGTGCTCCTTCTTCCTCTTCCTTCTCCTCTACCTCCTCTTCCTCTTCCACTTTTGGAGACAGAATCTTGCTCTGCCACCCAGGCTGGAGTTCAGTGGTGTGATCACAGCTCACTGCAATTTTGGCCACCTGGGCCCAAGTGCCT